AAAAATGCTTTCCACGTTTTTACACTACATCGTAACTATTTGTTTCTCATAAATTATTAAATAAAAGAATCAATAAAATAAATACCTATGTTATTAATTTAATGTTACCGCAGTTACTTTTTTATTATATATAATGACAAAAAATATATATCAGTACAAGAGCGATCCAGTGAATATCCAATTTTGTAAAAATTCAGAATTCAAACACTCATAAARACTTAATTTGACTCTCCGGTGGACATTTTTTATTTGATTTGCGCGAAATGTCTTAATCTGGCCCTAAAAGRAAGAAATWCTAGATTTGAAAACCCTTTGAATATGAGCATTAAAGCATCTAGGTATATGTAATCTAATTAGAAAAAATAACTATGGAAATTTCCACAGGTAATGCGAAAATAGCTGCTCTAGATGCTGTAAGAGATTTGAAAAATATTAAAACATTAAGAYAAATTTATACAATAAAAATCAATATGCATAATATAATACAATAATTATATGCAAGTGGGCAAAATCAGTTWGCTATATTTTTTAACAGCCWCAAGTCATAAACGTAAAAAARTGGTGTGATAAAAATATTGTATTAAAAATTGAATTATTATTATAAATGATAATAATGTATGTAGTGAAATCTCGGAAAATCTAATTAGCAAGAGACTGAAAAAAATGCGATATATCGAAACTTCGATGAGTTACCGAGGTAATTACAAACATCAATAAAATTTGAAATAAAAATGTATATTTATTATACACAATGTATTTATATATTGTATACATATTACTACTATTCGTCATTTCTTATGTGAGTAAGTATGTATATTATTTTCTATGAAAGTAGAAAATCTGTTATTTTTGTTTAGTATCTATTATAAGTATTTTTATGAAATCCGGTATCTAAAATAATAAGTGCAGAAAATTTGTTGCCAGAAACTCCTGAATGTAGTTGGACATAGCTTTGAAGTTSATGAATAAAATTTTAATTTTGGGCACCACGTATGAAAGGTTTAACAATAGCAATTTCTTCCTCGTCAATTACTACATCAACAGAATCTGTCTGTGGATTATTGAGAGTATTAGATATTTTAAAAAGTCTGCATCGGTTAGACTTTCTGATGTACTCACAGTAGAATCAATATCCAAAATTTTGAGTTAGAGAATCGTAATAGGCGGAGGGTACCGCATAATATCCCGACTTATAGAAAAATTCAACATATTGTGGAAATTTGATATACCGAAATAACTCAACACGTTAGTCCAATATTGAACGATCGGGACTAAAAAAAAAGAAATTTCGAGATACCGGATTTCGAGATACCAAAGTTTCACTGTATTATACTTTTATATTTATTATTTTATTAAATGTTATTATTTTTGACTTCATGTGTTGTCTCCGTCTCAACGTAGACAATAATACGTTTTACTCTGTAATTTCCAAAATTAGAGTGAATTTGCCTCTTAAAAAATTCAAAGACAAGACTATTATCTAGACATCTCGGATGATTTTATTATTTTTAAGTAATAATTAAAACTATTCTTAAACCGTTTAATTTTTGTACGTTGTAAAACGACCATAACYTACTTAAAAATAAAAATATCAATAAAATTCTCCAAGGTTCCCTAGATTAGGTACTCTTGTCTTTAAATTTTATAAGAGGTAATTTCACTTTAATTTTAGAAATTACAGAGTAAACTACCCCCCCCCCCACCCTCTGAATTCGATCACTTGGCATATTTGTTATTGAGCCATCGAGTCAGAAATTTAACAAAATCTAATAATATATTAAAAATTATTTATGAGAAAAAAATTTTACTCTAAGATAGTAAGATGTATTATTATGAACATAAAATTTGCCAAAGAAGACTCAACACCCTCATTTGTTGCCCGATCTTGTTACTGAAAGACAAACGCATTTGCGGCTTCTCTTATACAAAAACTTGCTAATTATTTTAATACTTTTTAATTTTACTTATTTGATTGTGCACAGCAGCGTAAGTGCCCTAGGTAAGAAAATTAATTTTGTGATTAGCAGTAGCTAACTTAAAATTGTAATGTCAGGACATGTCACAATTTCATATCACAAAATATTTTTTGAATTTTAAATACTATTTAAATGGCAGTAGGTAAGTATTTGATTTTCTATTCAAATTCGAACAAACACCATATTTAAAACACTTTTCAAATCTTAAAATACAAACCTATAATGTGCCTATAATATCTGTATCAAATTTTTCCTATTCACTAATCCAAAAAATTTCAGTGTCCACGACACTACTATATACAAAGTACAAACATAATTATTTTGAGCATAGCTGGAAATTTTTTTACCATATTTCCCTTTATACCCATGAGAAAATGTTTTTTAACAATACATCACTGTCTATACTAAAAGTTCATTGACTAGAGAGATTAAATAACTATACAATATTTTTTACAGAAGTTGTTGCAAACTCTATTTCTAAGTTAAATAGTAAATAATTATTAAATATTTAAAAATTGGCATAAACCTATATTTTTTACCAAAACACAATCTATCTTTAGTACATCAAAATCCAATCAAAACTATCATTATATTACAGTTTTATTGTCATAACRTCTAGGAGAATTTTAAATGTGCACTCCTTATTCACCATCCTAAAATAATAGATAAAAACTTGTAACATGAATAGTTTACATGCAACCGCAGCTTAAAAAGGAAATGAATTGTTTTGCATCAAAAGGATAATTTAGAACATTTAGTATAAATGCCTATATCCTTAATATTATTTTTGGAATCTATGAAACATAATTACACCATAGTCCACACATTTTTAATGTTTTATTTTTAATATCTAAAATATATTGACATAATATAATGTAATACTTACATTAATAACACAAAGTTATTATATAAACTTAATTGATCTTAAATAAAAAAAAAAAATATAAAATTTATTGCTTATGACATTAATTCATTAGGAAGAAAAAAAATACAATAGTAGTAAAAATTATAAAACCTTTTTGAGTATAAATAATAATTTAAGATAATTTTATCATTGATAACAATGTAGTAGAATTTTGCTTACAAATATTTTTAAGATGAAAATTCACTGTCCTATAACAATAAAAATAATTAAATAAATTAGTTAAATCAAAGTTTATTTTCTAATTTCTTTTATTGATATCTACTAAGTATTAAATAT